AGATCATCCTCCAGCCGGATCTGAAAGCCCTCCGAGGATGGAGATCCCTCCACTTCTCTGGGGAGGCTCTGCCCGTGCTTTGCTCCCGTCCCAGTGAGAGAGGGCTGGTCGCAACTTCCCTTGCTGCAGCTTGAGGCCGTTGCGGCTTGTGCTGTCATCTGCCACCGCGGAGAACAGCTCGGCTCCATCCTCCTTTGAACCCCGCTGCAGGGAGTTGAAGGCTGCTGTTACATCCCCCCTCAGTCTTCTCTTCTGCAGACTCAAGGACCGGTCCCCTCAGCCTGTCCTCAGAAGTCACGTCCCCTGGCCCCCTCGCCTTCGGTGCCTTTGGCTGCACCCCGTCCCACTTGTCCACATCCCTTCTGTAGTGGGGAGCCCAGAACAGGACACGGGCTCCAGGCATGGGCTCACCGGTGCCCACCCTGGACCCCAGTGACTCCTGCCTGGACAAAAATTGGACTTTCCCGGTCTTATGGGCTAAACAGTTAACATATTCAGTTGGGGCAAATGCCTCTTTCCTTTTCTCAATAATTGCATACTCATTAGCTGACTGGTAGGCTGATGAGGTTTAAAGAATAAGAGTACACTTCTGTGTTATATGCCCAGACCAAGACATTGGAATTCAAACAGATATATGTGAGAGAGTTGCTATGCTTTCTGGGTTTTGCTGATTACCTTTTAATTTGGCTCTGAGTAACCTGAATTTGTAGGGTTTTTTTTTAACTTGAACATAATATAGCATGGAAAACAGTAAAAGGAAAGTATAAAACAGTTTCTTATTTACTTGACTTCAGGTAATTTGTATGACTTCTCTTTTTTGAGTGTTGAAGGCTGCTCTGAATATATATTTGGAAAAGGGGCTCTTGACAGTTGCACTTTGATTCTAATAAATGTAATTAACAATATTACTATCCTCAACTAACACTTCCTTTTTTTTTCTAGCTCTCCTGATCGTCTTGTTGCTGGTTAGTCAGATTAGGTGATCCCCTATGTGTTGGCAAGAAGTACTCCCTGACTGTAGGGGAACTATACTGTACAATTTACTGGGCTGTTACTTTATTGTTAAATTTGTTGCTTCCTATTGGCTTGACTTCGTATCTCAAATTACAAGATATATTTCTGACATGATTACTCATGGCTGAAAAAAACAAATGGTAGCAGCATCACTGATTCATGCAGTGAGCAGGTGTTACCAGCTTTCTATGCATCTGTACCTGTAAACCCGGCTTGTAGTTGGAACAGGATGCTTCATCATTATGTTGCATGTGGGTAACAGAATGTTTGACAACTGTGACTTCTCAGTATAGGCAAGTTTTCTTAGGCAGGCAGAGTTCTTTGGGTAGATGTGATATCTTTTTATTAGACCAACTAAATAGTTGGGGAAAAAAAGCTTTAGGGCACAAACACCCTTCTTCAGGCATTGGGAGACTGCTGCTGTTCTGAGATCTCCAAGGCAGAAAAAAAGCTAGGGAAAAGGGATGTCTGGGAAGATGCAAATGAGCTAAAGTTTGGAAGACAAAGGGTGGGGATAGCAGGAGAGGGAAAAGGGTGAAGGAATACAGGTCTTCAGCTAAAAGGCAGGCTGCCTGGTGTGTCAGATGTCAGGCAGGCATGTGTCATAAATCCAATGTCTGTATTCAGTCCACAATTTTTTGTATCCAGTATATTTAGGAAGTGAAATTCATGGGCTTGTCTACAAAAGGTTTTGTAAGTTTCTTTTCAGGATTAGAACTGAGAAATCAGGGAGAGAGTGATTGTCTTGTGAGAAGTGTGCACCCATAGGCAGTTGGATATTTTTGTCTTTGATGGACAGCCTTTTAGCTGAAGGCCTGCATTCCTTCACACTTCCCCCTCCCCTCCTATCTCTACCCTTTGTCTTCCAAACTTCCACGCCTTTGCATCTTCCCAGACATCCCTTTACCCCAGCTTCTTTTCTACCCTGCAGATCTCAGAACAACAGCAGTCTCCCTACGCTGGAGGAAGGGTGTTTGTGCCCGAAAGCTTGCAAGGAACTTTTTTCACCTATTTAGTTGGTCTAATAAAAGATACCACATCTACCCAAAGAACCTTGCCTGCCTGTCTCCTTAGACCAACAGGCTACAGCCAACAGCCCTGCAGAGCTCACATAAGGCATTTACATAAATGAAACAACTTTGGTGCTAAACCTAAATGAATCTGCAGTGCATGGCTGCTGTGGGGATACGTTTGGATCTTATCAGTTAATTTTGTGCAAATGCTAGTTGAATTACTGGTATGCTTCCTACACTGTGTCCCTGAAGTGCACATCCTCAGAATATGAGGTCATGCTTTACATGGACAAATGTGCTTGCTGTATATCCTGAAGCTTCATGCTACATTTTTTTAGATTACCTGAAGCAAAAATATGAGTACTCATTTTATTAGTTGACTTTGGATTCAGGTCTTATCTTTAAAAGAACAGATTTTAAAGAAATCACAAATTAAGCCCCCAAATGCTTTAAAATTGATAGGAGAATATGTGTTTTGTAGGCGTATAACAGCTCTCCTTATTTTATAGCATTGACACAATGATATAAGTGAAAATACTGGAAACGTCTTAGCTGACAAAACAGTTTCCGAGAAATGATGAAACTAGTCCAGAAGAGAGAAAATGAGAAGTTCAGAGAAGCTCAATCCCCCAAAAAACCAAACTAGTCTTACTTGAGCACATACAAATATTTTTACTATTGGCTAGCGTATGGATTTAGCACTTCTTTGAACTAGACTAACTTTTATAATCAAACTGGTGTTGCTTTTTGTTTAAAAAAAATTCAAAACCAGACTAAACAGAAAGTTCCCAAGTTTCTTTATACAGAGGTTGCAGGTGGAGAAGAATGTATTTAGAACACTGTTTAGATGTGACAATTTAGCCCTGATCCTACAAAAACTTACACGTATCAAATGTTACATAATGTGAGTAATGCTGTTAAACCTACATACCTAAATGGTAGATTGGCTGAGATTTTTATCCTTACCTATATTCAGCTCTTTGTCTTTCTGTGGAAGAAAAGAAACAGTTCTGTGAGGGGTAATTAACACCCGTCCTGAAAGTCCTCTTTAGCTTAATTTGCCTTAATTTGCTCCTTACTTGACATAATAGTCACTGTCTTAGTGTCTGTAGGCTGTTCAAAGCTAAGATCTTTCTCCTGTAGGAAGTACTACTCTTCTTCCTGTGTAGTTGAGACTGTTTTGTAGATTCTTTACTTACAGAAATGGAGTTGGGGGTAGTCTCTGTCAGGGTGTTCCGGGAAATTTCTGTATCTTTATTACTGAGTACAGAAAAGGAGATGTTCCCAATGACATGGGTGGATTTGGGCTCAGAGAAGAGCTGCAAAATCAGACTTAAAACTATGAAATGGAATAGCAGTTTGCGGTAACTAAAGTTTCCATGTGGAAGAAATATTTTCCTGCAACGTTTTTTTGACTTGCTTACCTGCTGTAACTACTCTGAATTAGCTTTAAAATGAACGCAGCATGAAAGTTATGCAAGGCTGTTTTGATGATTAGATTTTTCCAAGTAAAACTCCTGAGTAAATAATTAATTCAATGGACTTTTGTAATTTGGTCTTTCAAACTTTAACAGCCTGTTAAATTGGAGAGAACTGGTATGTTCACTTACCATATCTAACTCTTTTCTTTCTTTCTTTTTAATGATACATCCTGTAAAAATATTCTCAAAAATTGTTTACAGGTTAAACCAAGTGGAACTCGGCCAGTTTGGACTGAATGACTTTCTGTGATTGTTTATGCAGGTTTCTTGCAGTTAGTTTAGAATCAAATTGATTTTAGAACATTTTACACTGTTTTATGGTCTTGTGGCTCTTTCTGGGCATCTCTTCTAGCAATGTTGAAACTATAGAGCCTACTGAAATGTGTTGGTACTGGCAGTGGCAACAGCTCCTGCCTGGCCCTGAAGTCCAGCAGTAACTTTCAGGTTAGATTGTCTACCTGGTCTCTATTCTTAATAAAGTAACACATTCTGAGATGTAGTTTGAATGGAAAATATTATAAATTGAAGTTGTCTTATAATGTAAAGGCCCATAACAGTCTGGTAAAGCAAACGCTTATTGTATTAAACAACACATGCAACTAACTTGAATAAGAAACAATTCATCAAGTAATTCCTTGCAGCCCTTCACTGCCTCTTTCTAGTGGCCACCACCTATTTTGTGACTTCTTTTAGTTTCAAGTTCTTGCAGCCAGACACTTGGGACTAGATTCAGG